TTCTGAGATCCTGAAAGATCGGTGTGTACAACGAATTTTAAATGAGGTCCAAAAAGAAGTCTATTGCATTTTGCTCAATTTTTCCTGAAAAAGAAAATGGTCAGTCTAGCAATTTTAAGAAAGCCTTTACAAACAGCAGTCGTTGATATGTAGACTACAGGAGCGAACCCACCTGTAAAATCTAAGCAACAAAAATCAGCAGCAAAAGTAATGATGTCAGTTTACCTCACCAGATCTAAAAGCTTAGCTGCTATTCCATTAAGAAAACGTCAGACGGTAACTGCAAAATAGCACGAAGAGTGCTTACCAAAAGTTTTGAAAAACAGGAAGAAAGAGAATTTGTGGTTCTACATCCGCGCCATTCCACACTGCTGAAATAACGAGTAATTCTGTTTCGATCTCTGGGATCGAACGAATACGTACAGCACTATATTCCCCGGATATGGCACCTTGTGATTTCTAGTTATTTCCAAAAATTAAAAAAAAGTTTAAAAGGAAAGGTCTTTAATAGCAACAAGAAGATAATTAATGCGGTTAATGCTGAACTTGATAAGCTTAAAAAGCGAGATTTTGAAGACTGTTTAGAGAAGTGGATCTATATGCTTAAGAAATGCATAAGAACAAAGATTGCGAAAAAAAACAAAAACAATATTTTTTTGAGTGTTTTTCTTAATAAACGTACTGAACTTTTCTATGGGGGGGGGATAGAAGCAGATTCTATAAATATGTTATGGTGAAAGAAAACAACAGAACAGCGGTTTCGTAGATCACCACAGACCCTAATAAAATGTACACTTATGAGTTGTGGAAAGATTTACTTTTAAATATTGCTGAAAACATATCTGAGGCATATTTAGAGCTATCTGAAAAACAGATGAATGTTTTTGCAATACAAAATGCTAAAAAGATGCAATTCTTCAACTTTGCTCCGGAAGCAAATAATGCCCACAAAATGGTGCGAACATATATATTACGATATAAACAACAAACATACCTATAAAGCACTTGCTTTGTCCGTGAATGTTGCTCGAAGGCATGCTGACTGCAATCAGAAGCACTGTCATTAAGGAAGCAATGTTCTCGTTTGCAAACTAACAACTACGGCTCATAATTATTTAAATACTTTGTACATATAAACACCCTGCAGGAAAAAGGTAGACTAGTATTTATGCAAAAATTTAGTTAAATACTAGTGTTTTTGAGATGAAATCATACCACTATTATTTTCATATTGACCCATCTTACATACCATCCGTCCATAACAGCGGACTGGAAGACCGTTAGCATATACGAGTTAACGACGCGACGAAATATTGCCAGCTGCCAGTACATATAATTTATAATTTTTAATTTTATAATTTTCGGCAACGAATTTCACAATTTATATGTTTGAATATAAGCGCCAATCAAATATATATAATCCATATGGTAATAAATAATTAACTTCGAATTTAATTTTCATTTCTTTGGAAAAAAAACTATGCATTTTTTTAGTTTTTATAATATTAGTTTAAGAAAAAAGTAAATACCGGCAATGAGCCCAGACGGTTTTACGGTAAAAATGAAATCGCCGCTGGTTTGTGTAGGACAACACCGTCAGTTATGGCATGGGCAGGAGGTGACAACTTTTCATTAACATAGCGCTCTGATAAGATAGGTTGCTATGGATAGAGGATACGTGAGATGAGTAGTTGCAGCATAAGGCTTACGGCTCGAGTCTCGCTGCAGGCAAATTAATTTTTTTATTGTTATCAAAATTGCACCTAACTACTTCAAAATTGGTATATTTTCCTGCAGGGCACTGTTAAATTCACACATATTTACACACACAAGCACTTTTGTGACCGAATCAATACCAATACATTTCACTGTGATTTGGAAACGCTTCGGCAGCAACAGTTCTGAAAAAGCAAACAAAATGACTGCAGGCATTGGTAAGCAGTCAGAAGCCAGCAGATGTGTTTGCTAGACGATAGACTAAGGCGGCACATCTGTACTGTTGACGTTAGCGGCATATACGTGCCTCTGCTTCGATGGCTAGGGATCTCAAAGGATTCAAAATTAAATCCTCATTGCAAACAAAATGAAGTTGGCTCAGAGAAAGTCTAGCGCTCCACAAGGACACAGTTAATTTGCGAGTTAAGTGGCAGGAGCGCCGAACTATGGACAAGTGATGCGTATTTTTGGATAGGTAGCTAACTTCGAAGTTACCATTGTTGTGAAATACTAACAAGACTAATTTAATATGACTGATATTTTCAAACTCAATAATAAGTTCAGAAGATTAAGAAGTTACAAGAGATCTAAAAATAAAGTAATAAACTAAAAATAGCTATTTTGCCAATAACTCTTTGCGCCTAATATTATATTTCTGGATAAAGCGTCTCTATTGAGATAATTTTTATGTGGCTCATATTTCAATATATTTCGCTACATAACCTTATATTTTTCGTAAGATCTTCACACAAGCAACTCTTACATACCAATCATCTTTTTACAATGATCTAATCCTTTAGTATATATATATTTATAAGTAATTTAGTAATCTTTATGAAATTATTTAAATTTCACTTTAGTGCGGCTCTTTCGCTTTGGCCAATTTTTATAAACTTTTGATGGACCTAAACTTAAACTTAAGCACTTTTGCACTCTCCCATGAACTCATGACACTTGGTAAACACTGTATGTATTTAGCACCATGTAAATACCAAGGGAACTAGGTGAATTGTAAGCATTTGAGGATAAATGAGCGAATTGCGCAAGCAAGCAAACAAATGGCATTGCAATTGAGCACGTTCGAAATGAAATGAACTGCAGCAAAGAAAACAAGAAAGGCGCTAACTGAATGGACCAATGTCATTTGCACTGTGGGGGGCTGAGAGAGAAAGAGAATGTAAATTTACTCAATTCTTCCAACAACTCAGCAGCGCACTCATATAGATATATATACGTTTGAAGAACAAACACAACGTCAGAGGATTCAAATAGCACACGTGCCTGCATATATATGGACATTGGCCTATATATGTATGGTTATATATATTGTATATGTATAACTGTTGTCATAACAAATAGTAACAAACTGAATACTGGTTTATACCAAACTAACAAGTGGCGCCAAAAATTACAGAAATCACTCTAACGGCACCCAGCTCTGGCCCACCTCCTCGGCCAGTGCAGGGCAGTCTACATCAGTTGTTGGCATCTGTTGATTTCTGTCATTGTATTTAACATTAGGTATTTAAATTCACAAATTGTCATGTCAGTATGTTACGAAATTCCACAAACATCAACGATCCTTCATGTGACCATCCAACTCCGTCCTCATGTGCATACATCATTTTCCACATTGTTTATACACACATTAACACTTTTTACATACACATTTAGGGCATTGCAATGCTATATTGTTCACTTACTTGCAATAGTTGTTGTAATAACAATGTTTGTCACTATTTGCCCTGACTCGCTTCCGGACTGGCGATAGGATTTTAACTCATGAACAAATTACAATGCCAATTGCAAAAGCCGCTCAGACAGTAAACAGTGCAAATGCAATCAGCGACTGAAATGCAAAATTATCTATCTGAATTTATTATTATGGGGGACTCTGTTTTATCACTTTCGAGTTAAACCGAAGTTCACGTTACCAGCTAATGACAGCAATAATGGTCCAAAAAATTTGTCGTTCAAACAGCACTGGCGGGTGTAGAGAGGTTCTTTCAGGCTCACGTTAATATTCACTTCACATTTTACTTTTTTTTTACTTTTTTATTAACTTATTAATAGCTGATCAAGCAAAAATACAGCGAGTTAGATGATATAATCTAACTTACTGAAGCGCCATTAAATGAAAATATATCACAGCTTGGCGCTATTGTCACTGAGGCTTGTTCCGTAGAAACCAGCGACGGGTTGGGACTCCCTGTCCTAGTTTTACATTGGAACAATTACTTAGAGGCGGTGAGGTATTACATCTCCTCTCGGAATATCAGAACTAGGTAATGCTCCCCTCCTTCACGAAACCTCGTTTATTTACTGACCGTAAGGATCGGGGTGAGGCACTACTACCCTCCTTTAGTTTGTAATTATTTATATGTGGGTGGTTGTCTTACGCCTCTGCCTTTGCGAAGACGGACGTTTACTCCAACAAATGGAGGAGCCTACAATTTATATTCAGCGGCCTCCGAATGGCCGATGCAGGACTCGAACTTTGGCCTTTCGAATAGGACTGCTAACCACTCGACTATTGTGGTCGTAAAGGAGAAAATATGGACCCATCAAAATTTATACCGATATGATAAAAATTACGAATTAAATTTATTTAGACATGTCCGTCGGACCGCCTGTATATACGCACGCTAATCTCTTAGCTTGGCACAAAGCCTAATGCATTTAGGCCATCTTTTGATGATACCAATCAAAACGGATTATAATGGCGCATATATGACTGATTTTCAAGATTTAATGGTTTGAGAAAAACTCGGTCAAAAAGCATTTTAGAGTACAAATAATCCAAATCCCCATTCAACGCAATGAAATAAGCATCTAAGAGCATTAATATTTGCACTGTACACAGTTACGTATATGCAGATAATTATTTACACCTCACTGAAATCGGTGGACTATATCATATAACACCCATATATTCATGTTTGAGGCTTTGGATCAGAAGTCCATCAAGAAATAAATCCGTCAAAAGTATGAAATTTTCTATTCTACATACATAAGTATCCACAAATAAACATTAGCGCCGAAAGTCATCGAAGTCGAAACACTTCACCACATTGACCCCACAACTTTTCAAATATGAGATATAATATTTAATCCTGAAATGAAATATCCTAAATTTGATATGGTCATGAAAGGTATAAAGACTTTGTGTTTTATTGTCTTATTCCCACACAACTTATATTTGCTTATATACATATATATTGTAGTAGCACAGATTCCATTTGAAATTGCAATTTTATTCAATTTTATTTTTGTAATACTTTCAGCTTGGTAAACTGGACAATGGAAGATGCTCCTCAAGTGCGCAGAGCACTCACAGAGGCCCTCAGTGTGTGGGCGCACAGCTCTAAGCTGACTTTTCGAGAAGTGCAAAGTGATCAAGCCGATATCCAAGTGCTTTTCGCAAGGTAATGTAAAATTATATAAATAAATAAATCAAAATCAACTTTATATACTGTTTTTATTTGCGCCTATCAGATAAAATAACAACGTTACGACGTTTGATAAGTAGACTCACCCCAGTTTTTCGGATATTGATTTTGAAAGTAGTAAAAATGAATGTAAAATGAATAATATATGAAAATCGCTTTTGTGGTTATAATCCCAGTATGTATGTACATACTGTGTTTGTTCTAATTGTCTGACGGATAAGCCCACCGCCCGAGCTACTGATCGTAGAGACCTGGAACTTAGAGGATATGTTCTGATTCAGTGTGGCACTCCAAAGCATTGATCGTCCGAAAAAAGGGTTTTTCTGGAAAATATACCAGGGACTGATTTATTCGTTTACATAATATTTTTAGCTAAATTTGCTTGATGCTTGGAAAATAAATAGCATTTTGCCTGGACTAAAGGTACAAATGTGCTTTTAATTAAATGACTTAAGAAGACAGTTAAGGTCCTTATGAAGTTTCAATGTCAAATTGTAATTGTGGAGTTTTTGTATTAGGTGTATGCATTAATTCGTGCGGTTTTCTAAGAGAGGGCTCTACTAGTATTATTTCGCGTCGTGTTCATTCATTTCAAAGGTACTGTCATTTCGGGTCGTTTTCAGTAAATGTCATTTTTTTTAGCGTCAACAACAATTTGTTTGATTCATTTGAAAATATCGAAACTTGTATCAGATAAAGTGCCTTTGCGGAGAGTTCTTCTTCATTACTTTAATATGCTACCGAAAACCACCGTATTTTACCGGACGTTTATGGTGACCATGCTTTAGCCGAAGGAACGTGCCAAAAGTGGTTTGCACGGTTTGAAAGTGGCAATTCCGGCTTGGACGACGGACTACCAAAAAAGTTCAAGGCGAAGAATTGGAGACATTGCTCGACGCAGATGCATGCCAGACGCAAGAATAAACTTGCAAAAGTATTAGGAGTTGATGAAGCAACCGTTTTATAGACGACTAAAATCGTTTTTTCACAATAAAGTCTTAATTTTTGAAAAAAAAACGCACGAATTAACATATACACCCAATATGAAAACAATTCTTAAAAAAGAATTTTAGAGAAGAGTTTTATAACTTTTTATGTTATTTCAAAATATACAATATAATATACTCTTAGTACTACTAACACTGCCAATAAGAATACTGACACCATTTTATAATTTCACCATGCATTGAAGAGGGTTTCCAAGAGGTGCTATTTTGATATTCAAAGTAAAATGGCATATTTTGAGACAAATGTTCGGGTGTTTATATCAATGTAAAGAGGAAGTTATGCCATCACCAATTCGCAAAGTGGCTGCTGTATGTCCTCAATAGCTTCTCGAATTTCATCTTTCATGCCTTAAATCGACGTTGGCTTATTGGCGTAGACCTTATCTTACATGAGGCCCCAAAGGAGGAAGTCACAAGGTGTTAAATCACAAGGTCTCGGTAGCCAATTGTGATCAGTAAAGACGACGCTTATTGTGCTAACTGAACTTTATAAGCTTAGACCCAAGTTTTTATTCAAAATACGGTGGAATTCCCACTTCAAAAGAATGACGAAGAATGGACACACCTGGGGTTTCTTTAACACTTTTTGCACTACAGCAATAATATCAGTTTTTGTTGAGCGACGTGTGCGTGTTTTATTCTTCACATCACTAACTTCTCCCAAGTGCTCCTCTATTGTCATCACTGTCCATATTGCGGTCCGATGAGGTGTTTCTCGACGACCGAAAAATGTTTTAGTTTTTTATTACTGGCGTAGTTTTTACTTGTTAACTGTCAAAAAAATTACAACTTCAAAAGTGACATCTACACGAATAGCAAGCTATTCAAAATAACACCTCTTATTGGAAAGCCCCATTAGTTATATGGGAAATAACAAAAAAAAAATTAAAAAATATATAATATCTCCCTTCCGCTTTTTTGCTCTTCATTCAATGCTTTATAAAAAGTGTTACAGTGATCGAATATAGTTAAAATATGCGCCGTTTTGTTCGATGATCTATTTCCATCTAGACGGCAACTTCATAATACCTTCCTCGTAGAAGCCCCCCTCCTTATTTGCGAAGAATTCGGACAGCCACTTTTCACAAGCCTCTTTTGAGTTCAACTTCACACCACCAAGGGCATTCGCCATGGACAGGAACAGGTGGTAATCCCTTGGCGCTACGTCCGGGCTATATGGTGGATGCGATAAAACCTCCCATCCGAGCTCCCGTAGCTTCTAACGAGTCATCAACGAAGTATGTGGTCTGGCGTTGTCCTGGTGGAACACTACACCCTTCCTCTTGGCCAATTCTGGGCGCTTCTGGTCGATCGCCTGCTTCAAGCGGTCCAGTTGGTCGCAGTAGATGGTAGAATTAAGCGTCTGGCCATATGCTCATAGCAGCTCATAGTGGATGATTCCCTTCCAATCCCACCAAACACACAGCAAAACCTTCCTGGCCGTCAATCCCGGCTTGGCCACTGTTTGGGACGATTCGCTTTGATATTGTCGTATGTGATCCATTTTTCCGCTTCAAGAATGGGTCGAGTTCGTTCCGTTTCAGCAGCATATCGCTGGCGTTGATTCGGTCCAGAAGGTTTTTTTGCGTCAAATTATGCGGCACCCAAACATCAAACTTTTTTTTGTATCCAGCCTTCTGCAGATGGTTCAAAATGGTTTGGTGACTAACTCCCATCTCCTGGGCGACGTCACGAGATGCCATATGCCGGTCTAACTCGATGTATTCCATGATTTGATCGGTATTTGTCGTCACAGGTCTTCCGCCGGCTGGCATATCCATGGTGTCGTTTTCACCGGCTCTGAATCGTCGAAACCATTCCTCCGCGGTTCGAAGTGATAGAGTACCATCCCCCAACACACCATTAATCTCACGGAACGTTTCTCTAGCGGATTTGCTTTTAACGAAGGAAAACTATAAAATAGCGCAAATTTCGGTGTTAGTGAACTCCATGTTTACACGTCCAAACTATTCATGCATAGCGTTGTTTTGTAGGTTATGTCAAGACCTTTCAAATTATGTATAGTGTTGCCAGATGCGAGCTCTGTAGCGCTTTGTACATAGCCGCGAAATTCAAAAGACAAAAAAGCGGAAGGGAGATATTTGAGTTGAATAAGAGCATACACTCAACTAGTGGTAAATATGAAAACAGTTTTGTAGTTAATGAAATGTGAGGATATAATTAATAAATTTCAGCAAATATGAAATTATTTAAAAAAAAAACCTTCACTCCGTCTTTATAAGGAAGGTAGTCAACTTTAGGCACGATAATATTTCATGCGACAGCTAAAAGATAATATAGTTTTAATTAAAACATTATATGCATATGGCTATTTAAAATAAATTGCGTGGAGTTTTAACAACTATAATTGTTTTTTTTTTTGCCTACCTTGGAAGAACCTTGCCTCATAAATAAAAATATTTTCTTAATATCATTTTTATATTCTGAAATTATACGCTTTATGTAGTTCCTTTGCTACAAACTCAACAAAATTATTTTGAGTAAATATAAAAATATTTAATATATTTTTACCTCTCCTTATTTGCTTATGCAAAAATATGTGTGTATGCATGTGTATCACAGAGTAACCATTCTTGTAATCGCCTTTTGACTACCCATTGATATGATGATTTTATGATGAAATCTTAAAAAAAAATAACTCCGTTAAGCCTACAAGAGAATCAAATATATGTTCGTATGTACACAGACACACATGCAACATATACACCTGCAGTTGGGCTTTTAAACAGCTGTGGATGTGTGGCTGTAAAGATTTTGAGCGATTGACATAAATGTCACTCATACGCCCCGCGGCATTCATATATTGTACATAGTACATACATACGTATGTATATACGATATACATATGTACATAACATTCTACATATGCAAAATAGCAATTTTTGCTTGATTGACTTTTAATCAATACGACAGCTGCAAAAGCGATGCTGTGTAATTGAATGGAATTAGCGCGATTTACAGCAGCTGTCTACATACACACATATGTACATATACATAAATAAACATACATACATACGCATACAATATGTAAACTTGTAAATATATTAAGTGGTTTGCGTGATTCAGATTCCTGAAAATGACTTTACACTTAATATTCCGTTTTAAATACTTTTTGTCTTGATGATTTTACAATTTATTTTAAACCAACAATACCAGCAATTTAAAGCTGTTAAAACAACTATTATCACATTTTCATGAAAATTTCATTACGAGTATTTTGTATGAAGAGCGCAAGTTGTTATATAATTTAATCTTATTGGAGAATGTTGTTATCAGATTACTACAAGGCAGCATAAAGTAGTTATTGTCGTAGACTGGAGAGAGAAATAAATTTTATAATTCAATAAGACTTAATAATTAAAACGCTGAGCAAGCAATTTTTGTCATTTCATGGTTTACAACTCAAAACGAATTTCCACCAATTTTAAGAAGTCTAATTTAAGTCTTTAGCTTATGCGAATACGAGATTATTAATCTATTAAAAGTGTGTATGTATATCTACATGTGATTGAATTCTAATATTACTTACATTGCTATTGCTCCTAAGCTTTAGCCATAAATACTCGTACTCTCGTTTTATCTTTCCAATCTTTCCAAAATTTGTGCATTAATGATTATTTTAAAAATAACCACATCGATTAGAATTTGTTCTGGGGAATTAAAGAGAAAAATAAATACAAATATTTTGCGACTCATTATGGCTTAATTTATTGATTAAAAAATTCATCAGCAATTCGGTGGGGGTTTATAGTATAAGCTTGTTTTATCTTAAAATTATACCTATTTGTGTATTTTGTGTATTGTATTATTAGATATTGATTAAAAATATGAATATATTGTTATTTATACTTCTTTCCTCTCTTTTTCAAAGGGGAGACCATGGTGATGGCTATAAATTTGATGGGCCTGGTATGGTGCTCGCGCATGCCTTCTATCCGGGAGTTGGACGTGGTGGGGATGCACATTTCGATGCCGACGAGAAGTGGCATTTCACCGATGGCGAAAGAGGCGATGGTAGGTATTATTATATTATCAACACAATATAATAAATGCGGCTGAAATAGAATAAATAAAAACACGCATCACACACACACACACACACACACAAAATAACTGTCCAAAGTATTGGAGAATGCGATGTGTATCAGCGTAAATTAATGAGCAATGCGCTAATTCCCGAGTTGAAAGTTGATTTTACCCCGCAATAGACCCGCACAATTTACGACGTATTTCACGTACCAAACAGTCTGAAATACAATAATGAAATGTAAATATGTATGAATGGCATTTTCTTTTTTGTTAATTTTTGGTATTGTTGTCAGCACTCATCCATTCATTCATTTAGTCGTTCATTTGTTGATTTACTTAGTTTGTATAAAACGTGTGAAAATGATTGATTACTGGCCAAGCCAAATGCAATTCATTCAATACAAATGAATGTGAACACATACATATATGCATAGAAATAAATTTTTATGAACATATACATATGTATATACATATACTTATTGTACATCCATTCCGTCAGGGCAACCGATGATTTGTAAAAATTACTCACTACCCACACCTACAACCCCTTTTTGAAGGCAGAAAGTAGAAATCGTTGTTAACTTAACAAAAATGAGTGATGGTTTTTTACACGAATTTATACACATATTAGTTTATACATACATACATACATATTAGCCGATGATATAAATACATATATATATACATTCCGTTTCAAATCAAGACAATGACTTGAATTTTCACCACAAAAAACACTGTCAGCAATTGATAAGCAATTTTTCAGTTTCAATGATACTGCTACGTCTATGAATGCCTGACCCGCTTTTGTTAATATGAACTGAAAATTCTAAAATTTATTTATATATTTTTTACAGTTACTTATATTTACGAATAACTTTTATGGACTATAATTTTACTCTCAATTTAAATATTTTATAAAGGAATAAGAATTTTTGTTTTGATATTACACTCTTTAAAGAATTTTAACGTGGAGCATTTCAATGGGTTCCGAAAAGGAATAGGCTAAGTAAACATTAGTGATTGAACATTTACTTTTCACTTAGTTTTTGTTCTGTTCCACTCTATGGCTTCAATTTGCCTGAAAGCTAAAGCATACTAAGGCTTCTTCTTATGCTTTAATACATATATATATATATATATATGTATATATATATACATATATTTCTATTATATATCAGGTGTACAACTTTGCTTCCGCCGTTTTTTTCCAAAATTAAAAGCTTTATTGCGAAAGAATGCTTACAGAAATATTATTCAAAGTATTGTCCTTCGCTAGCGACAACTTTCTCCCATCTTTCCGGCAATTTTCGGATCCCGGCTCGAAAAAAGGAGTCCTCTTTTGACGCTATCCATGAAGCAATCCATTTTTCCAATTCTTCGAAGGATTGAAAATGCTGATCTGCCAGGCCGTGTGCCATCGAACGGAATAGGTGGAAGTCAGAAGTGGCGACATCTGGGGAATACGGCGGGTGGGGCACGACTTCCCATTATAGCGTTTTCAGGTACTTTTTGACCACTTTTGCGGCGTGAGGCCGAGCATTGTCGTGTTGGAGGATGACTTTGTTTTGTCATGTTCTTTCTGAATCATGCCCAGGGCCTTGAGACGTTTTGAAATGGCTTGCTGACGCACTCTCAACGATTCGGCAAGCTGTTCTTGCGTTTGGCACGAATGATCATCAAGCTATGCTTCTAGTTGTTCATCTTTGAAGGTTTTTTCTCTTCCACCACCACGTTTGTCTTCGGCATCGAAATCACCATTTTTTAAAACGTTGAAACCACTCCCGACACGCTCTTTCACTCAGAGCAGCATCACCGAAAGTTTCTGAGAGCATTCGGTGCACTTCAGCTGCATTTTTTTTTCGAATTGTAACAGAAAAGTAAAGCTTCCGGCAAATGGCGAGAATTAGGCACATAAACGGACATTTTCGAGCGTGAATAATACGAAAACAAGAACAACTGTCATTGAAACGGTGATGACAATTCGTTAGGCACTGTCCACACTCACTTTAAAGGCATTATCATCTATGTATTTCAACCAGCCTCAGCCTGTACAGCCACCTATCGGAAAACGGCGGAAGCAAAGTTGTACACCTGATACAAGCATTTATATGGCACTTCGTAACCACGACCGAGCCCTCTCAAATTTGTGATGAGCATCTTGACGTTTTTCCAACAATTGAAGGGACCTACACCTTATACTAAGCCGCCTCCGAAGGGCTGATGGTTTTTTATGAGGAGATTTTATTTTATTCGCTGGCGACAGGCGATCGCAATAAGAAAAGTTTATTTAATTTTTTATGTTTAGATGGTACTCTTTTAGTTCAGTTAGGCCCTAACTGAGAATATTTAACTACTTCTCTCTGTATTAAAACTAGGACTTTTAAAATCATTTATCGAAAATATGTACTTTATAAAGAGATACATTTATATAAAATTAATCATAACATTTTTTTGAAATATTTTCCTCAGTCTCCACAAAAACTTTCGGAGAAATTTCTTTTTTAGATTGTTTATTTGATACAAAGTACCCATGAGGTTTAATCAGTTTCAGATTTAAAACTTTCAAAACAATTTGGTTTAGGGTCAGATCAGGAATCGTCTTTAAAAATTAAAAGTATTGTTAGGGATAATGAATATATTGATGGCTCGGTTTCCAGAAGTAAATTATTGGACAAATTTAAAGATAATCCTTTTTATCATATACACGTATGTGGCTTAGAAATTGATTAGATTTTGGTAGAAAGCCAATTAGACTAAACATATTACTAACCTTACTTGGCTCTGTGTGTTTTGTGGTCAGAAAAAGAACGAAATTCGACCTTTGGAAATTTATATCAAATCAAAATAGAACTATTTTTCATGCAGGTTTCCAATGATAAATCATCGTAATGGATATACCAACAATCAAAGAATTTTCTGATGAACAAGCAGCTCACATATATTATTTGAGGAAGCAATAAGAGGTTGATACCCTTTCATGGCATTCAGTAAACAAAATGTGCATCTGATAAACTGTCATCAGTTTAAACAAACTGCGAAACGATTTAATAATTTAAAAGGCCTGTGAACCGTCGTTAGGTATACTTGTCCATGGGGTTAACACCACCGGCAAATGTAGTGTTCCTGAGAGGTTTTTAACTCACTGAAAAGGGCTAGTAGAGGGTTTTGACCTCCACAGTTTATACGAGAAGTAAATAAGGGTCATGGTAGAAGCTTGAGTAGAAACTCTCATATTTTACATACATTTACTTGTATTTCTATTTATAAATAAAAATTTGTTTTGTAGCTTCCAAAATGGGGCGTTGTTATTTTAGGCAAACCTTGGCAAGGCTGAGCTAAACCCAGCCAAGCGGGAAAACCTCGTTACAATGGAAGGACCAATAAATATTAGATGTCTTCAAGTGATAGCAACTCTTCGAAAATTCATTTTCATGCGCATTTGCACAATATCTTCTCCAAAACCCACTGCTTGGTTGCCATCGTTACATATTTTTTCTTTTTGTCCATTTACTCCTACAAGCAAACCACTTCAGTAGTCTAACTCTGGTCACAATTATTATCGGGTATGAATTCAACGTAAATACTGCAACAAATTTTGAAATTTTGAATTTTATAAGAACTATTAAAAAACAAGTCTGAATAAACGACCAAATGGACAATTAAGCGAAATATACTATGGAAAAGTAATCGAAAACTTCTTAACTAGGACTTTTGCTGGAGCTTGGCGCTAAGCAGACTATGATACACATAAAGCAAGAGTGCATTTTAACTAACTAAAGTATACTCTAACGTAGGGCTGTTGTCTTCGTTACTCGATCGTTTCGATTATTCTTGAGCATGCCCTATATTCTGTAGGCTCTGGCGATAAGACCTCAGGAGTAAATCAATTTTACAAGGGTCTGAATGATATTACGCAATTTTTTAATAGAATTGAGAAGGCTCTACATTTTAGTTTTGTAGATTACCAAATCTTCATAGATAAATCTCATAGGTAAAGGAACCTTTAGGGTAACACGAATAAATACTGAAATTTATATTGGTGCCTTTAGCCTTTAACCATCGCATTTGCCAAATAATTTACCAGAAGTTCATATTTCATTTTGGTAAAGACCGCGCGGATGAGACAAAGTCAACGATATTTTACATCGCGTCATCATCGAGGTCTATGGTGTTGTTTTTATTTTCCAACTATTTTTCGCATTTATTTACTCTTTTTTGTCCATAAAATACTTATGAACCGACTACAATGTCATCTTGTGATGTAATGAAACCAACCGACTTTATCGACTTTATTATAACCGCCATTTCCGTTGCCAACATAGCCGCCTCTGATGCGCAATGTCATCAACAATGCTGTTGTTGCTGCCACCAGCTAGCAATGCATGCGGCTCCTTACGCATTCCAACAACACCATAGCCAACATAACCGCCGTGGAGCCATTCATTTTGGTGAGCTTAACATAAAAATCCTTGCGACGCCAGATAATTTAGCTGCAGCACGCATTTACGGGTAACATCCAAGCCAAACCGTTAGCAGTCAGTTGGCGACGCTTACGTAGTCATAGTAGAAAACTCGTAAAAATGTGGATCTTGTGGCGTCTTGGTGTTGGTTATGACAATTTTATTGGCATTAATAAAATGTCAAATGTTGCACAATGCAAGGCGTGTTCCATCCCTAATGCAACGCAATGCAACTTAACTTAGCCATGAGCGTTTTGGAGGAGCTAAAATCCAGAAGCTCCTGCATTTGTACTCTCTTCCTCCTTCCTCTCTACTTTAGCAATGCTTGAAAATCACTTGAGCCAACAAAATTGCGATTGTAATTGTGATTTTGTTCACTAAGAGGAGAAAATAATTTACTGCATGCATTTCCTTAAGACATAATGGAAGCATTATAGGAATTTCTTCTTTTATGCGAGCATACATATGCACAATATATAATATTATATAAGCACAATGTACCGAGCACCGGTGTAAGAGAAAAGA